CAAGCTATATCCCTGGTGACAGAGAGGAACCTTGGAATGGATGGGGCTAGATAAACAGTTTGTCTTGGGAAAGAACAAGAAGTATTATTAGCTGCGAGATAGGATTTTATTTTAATTTACGACGCCTTGCGAAAGGCTGCCGACAAGTCCCGGGAACAGCTTTACAAATCAGATCTTGATTACTTCTGGTTTAAGCCGGGAGAAACGGGTGAGGGGGGAGACTGTTTCGAGGGAAGAGGGGTGCTGGGTGGCTTTTGTGCAGACGTCTCGGGACCCGACTAGGCAACGTCATCAGAGCTAGAAGGGAGGAGGAGGAGGAAGACTCTGGGGTTCTTGATGCTCTCTGACCTTGACGATTTTCTTGCAGACATTTCATGACCCAACTAGGGAACATCATCAGGGCTACAAACGAGTTGGGTAACTTTGAACGGTTGCTAAATGAACCTGTGCTCCCCGTATTACATCTTTCCTTGGAAAAATGTTTCATTTATGGGAAAACAGGTAGACCTTGAGTTACTACTGTTCATTTAACGACCGAAAAAAGGGACTTTTCATCCTTACGACAGTCGCTGCCCAGGGCTGCGGGATCCAATATCCGTGCCAACATCATGAATTTATTCAGCATCAATCTGTAGGCAGGGATGTCTGCCAACAGCTGGATGGCCTAAACTTTTACTCAAACACCTGGAGGGAAAACGGATCTTTATTCAGGGCCAGGGAAGGGTTAATTTTTTGCCCGAAAACCTTTCATTTTTTAAATCCCCTGCCACATTTAGCATCGATCTCGGCCAACCTCAGCCGCTGCGTGCTCATTAACATTTCAGAAATCGTTATGCAACATTGATATAATATTTTTTCCTCGTCTGTTAAAGATTTAATTCAGCGCATCCCCCCCCCCCCCCGTCAACAGATCCCAGCCTCTATTGTGTAAATAAATAACACCTGGCTCCTTTAGGGACTGCGATGTTTGTGTTTTTTCTGAAGTGGGGAATAACATTCTGGGGTGGGGTTTTGAGGGTTTTTTTTGCAGCATTTCCTGGAAGGATCTGATAATTCCAGAAAATACAGGCGGTCCTCGGCTTACGACCACAATGGATCCCAAAATTTCTGTCGCTAAGCGAGTCATTTCTTAAGTGAGGTCTGACCCATTTGACGACCTTCCTTGGCCACCGTTGTTAAGCGTGGGAAAGGAGGTCGTTAAACGGGGCGCGACTTGCTTCAACGTCTCATTTAGCGGGGGAAATTCTGGCCTCAGTTGCCGTCGCAAGTCGAGGACTACACGGAGTAAGCCACCCCCTGCGAGAGGCGACCGATTCATCTCCAGCATAGCTCCTTCTTCAGAGCCGAGAGACGCCCTCGGTAGATCATATTTACATCTTTTATCAAGCCAGGGAAATTGAATTTTGTGCGTATGCAGCCTCCTAAATCCAGTTTAAATCACCAGATATAATTTGATCAACATTCATCAGCCAAGAGTTACGAACTGGGGTTAAAGATAAATAGGGCCTTTCTTTCTTCCCCTCCTTCCTTGTGTTTATCCTTCGATATCGGCCAGGTCTGTCATTCTTTTCGAAATATATTTTACGAGCTGAGAGGCCCTGAGGGGCATTAAAACTCTCATTTATTAATTCCAGGAGCCGCCCCTTAGAGACTAGGTTCTCCCTGGGGGTTAGATTGGATAATATCCGGGGTTTGTTGATGGGAGGTGGATTGGGCTGGCTTTCAGGCCTAAGGCGGAACTAGAACTCCCAGTCGCCTGGCGATTGGGCCAAAATCACCCAGATGGCTTTCATGGCTAAGGTGGGACTAGAACTCCCAGTCGCCTGCTGATTGGCCCAAAGTAAACCAGATGGTTTTCATGCCTAAGGCAGAACTAGAACTCACCGTCACCTGGTGATTGGCCCAAAGTCACCCAACTGGCTTTTATGGTGAAGGTGGCACTAGAACTTCCCGTCTCCTGGTGATTGGCCCAAATTCCCCCAGCTGTCTTTCCTACCTGAGTCGAAACTAGAACTCACCCTCGCCTGGCTTCTGGTTCTTTAATCCTCCTCCTCTCCAGCCCTGCTCAGCAACTCAGAAGTCACCCGGCTGACTTTTGCAAATCTAAGCCACATCGTTGATCAAAAGACACATTTTTTTTTCACTCGTTCTTATCATTTTTTTTTGCGATTCTTCGGCCCCTTCGGCTATTTTTAATATCTGGGGCTGAATAATTCAGTTACCTCCTCTGATGGAATATGCGCTTCCCTCCCCTGTTCGAGATTTTAAAATATTCTATTATCTATGGAGCTGGGTGAGGGTGGAAGTCATCCAGACCCCGGACCATTATGGGGGTCATCAATTTTCCCGATAAAATTTCAAAATTACAGGCTCGTTAATGTAGCATTTCAAGTTTCTCCCTTCCTCTCCCTTCCCAAATGTGTTAACTCCGTAGCTAATGAGGGAAAGCACATCTCTAAATCATCATAATTAACCTTAGAATTTGCTGCAATATAGAATAATTAGAAAATAATTGTTATCATTTTTGTCTTTGGGGGAAGGAGCTGGGGCCTGAAGCTACTCTCTCCCCCCCCCAATCGATCAAAAGCAGCATTTGCATGGAATGTGCAATTAAACCATTTCCCCCCCTCTTTTTTGCATTGTCCAGGGCAATTACTCCAAAGCTATCCAACTTTTTGATCACAGATGATGTTGAGAGATGAAAGGATTGTCTCTCTGGCTGCAGTCGCTTGCAAAAAATGTCCTTTTATTGGTGTGGGTCGATTGGCTGCTTTTAATTTCTTCAAGGCCAGAAGAAATTAATTGCCAGCCATTTCCCACATTAAAACTAATAAGATGGATCCTTGCAAACACGGGGTACGCTGTCAGGCTTAAAAGAAAAAAGGAAACGAAAAAGAATTGGGCTGGATGTTTGGAACAGGGAGAGACGGGTGAAAAATCTGGCTGACTTAAATAGAAGACCGGGTGGAGCGTGAATTGATTCTCTGCCTAAGTGGATGAATTCTTGATGCTTGGATGAATTTCCAGAATTGGGGTGCAACCAAGAAGAATATAGAAAGCCTTGATAAATAGAACATTGGTCATAGGATGATAGATAGATAGATAGATAGATAGATAGATAGATAGATAGATAGATAGATAGATAGATAGACAGACAGACAGACAGACAGACAGACAGACAATAGACATGATAGCGATAGATAGAGATGATAGAGATGGACAGATAGATAGATAGATAGATAGATAGATAGATAGATAGATAGATAGATAGATAGATAGATAGATAGATAGAAATAGATAATAAGCAGACAGATGATAGATAAATGATAGATGTATAGGTGATAGGGATAGATTGATAGGTGATAGATGACAGAGAGATACATGATAGATAAGACAGACAATGACAATAGATCGATAGATAAATAGAATCCATGTATGTTCATCGGTTGTACAAAATTCAAATACTGTTTCATGTGTGGTTCCCCCCCCCAATTCCAATGACTTTTTTATCTATATTAAGTCAACCTCTTAATTGCCCTATGAAAACCACTGAAAACGAAATCCCTCTGCGGTCAATTATCTTGACTTGGTTTTGAGCTCCCCATGCTCCTTTATCAGTGAATCTTGGTACGTTAACCAGGTCTCTTGGCCCGCTGGTTTTCAGTTTTGTTTTTTGTTTTGTTTTTTTGCTATTTGTAAAAGGCTTCTTGTGCTGAAACCAATAAAGGGATTTGGGGGCACAGTCTGGGTTTATATTTGTTCCATATTCCTAATGTGGCATTAACATAATGATTTTTAAAGTCTGCACGAGCCATAACTTTGTCATATCATACAAGATCCATGCCGTCCACTTTGGGTCGTGTTCTTCCAATTCTAGCATTCTTTTGTTTTTCAACAGTGCTCGCTCTTTCGTTCGAACCAAACAGCAGGTTGCAAAATAGAATTTAAAATAAGGCCTTCCCTTTCCTGTCCTTCCCTTCTCTTCCCTCTTTCTCCTTTCCTTTCCTTTCCCTTCCTCTCCTCTCCTCTCCTCTCCGTCCCTTCCCCTCCCTCAAAAAATGAAAAGTCAATTTTTCTCAGCCCAAATTGTATTCTAAACTGAGCTTCCAGCCTATGAATTCTCATCCTGTTCATAATTGAAAAGGATATCTATTATAAATGCATGTGGCATTATTATTAATTTTTTACATTCCTATCGTTCTCTGGAGCTCATAACTCAAGAGTTATCGAGCTTGAAATCTGGGGGGGAAAAGTAGAGGCAGAATTCCCTTCCTTCCTTCCTTCCTTCCTTCCTTCCTTCCTTCCTTCCTTCCTTCCTTCCTTCCTTCCTTCCTTCCTTCCTTCCTTCCCTCCCTCCCTCCCTCCCTCCCTCCGTCCTTTTCCCCTCCTTTCCTTTCTCTTTCCTTCTTCCTTCTTTCTTATCTTCCCTCCTCCCTCCCTCCCTCCACCCTTTTCCCCTCCTTTCCTTTCTCTTTCCTTTTTCCTTCTTTCTTATCTTCCTTCCTTCCTTCCCCTTTAGATCCACCGGCTACTCTCCACTGACCACAGATCCATCTGAGAGGCACCATGATCACCTCTCAGCACAAAGGGCAGCATGCAACATTTCCCCCCCCCCCCCAGGGACCATACCTCTGATGGGGCAGTTTCCACCAAGACTCCCTCCCATTTGTTCCTTCAACACACCTAACACAACTGTCTACATGTTTAAGTTGTGTGTTCCCCTACTTCCAGACTGCCAGCTCCCACTGGCTCACCCCAGGTGCCGAACAAATAAAACACATGAAGGAGGTAAAAGGAAAGGAAAAGAAACACCCACAACCCACCACCACGTCTCCTCTGGCGTCGCAAGCTGCCTTCTGCTTGCTCTCTCCAACAACCGAAACCTGGTGGGGGGAAAAAAATCAAAAAAATTCCTGTCTCAATCTGCAGATTGAAATCACAGAAAAATAAAACAAGTCTGTTTTAGGTTTGCTTTTTTTTTTCTTTTTCCCCCACTCCAGGCTGAGCGATTCTTCTTCCGCTGGTTTGTCAGATCAGAGGCAGAAAAATATGGCATAAACTGACAGTTGCAGAAACAGAGAAGATGGTTTGAACATCAAGGAGGGCCTGGAGAGCCACCATGAGGAGGAGGCCAGCAAAAATGGGGGTAAGAGTCTGTGGGCCTCCCCGCCAGGCTCTGGCACGTGGCATCGGTGCAAATCCCAGGGTATTGGGGATAATGCCTCCCATTCAAGCAGTGGGCTGGACTAGATGACCTCCGAGGTCCCTTCCAAGCCTGTTAGTCTGTAATCCCAGATCAATGGAGGGTTTGATTCCAGAAGCTGTGGGTGCTCCATCACTGCAGGTTTTCGAGAGAAGATTGGACAGTCATTTGACCGGGTCTCCTGCAGGAGCAGGGGGTTGGACTAGAGGATCTCCGAGGTCCCTTCCGGCTCTGTTATTCTATGTTCTACAGGTAGACTTACCACTGTTCATTTAGCAGCCGTCCCGCTTAGCAACCGAAATTTTGGGCTCAGTCGTGGTCGTAAGCTGGGGACTCCCTGCACTTACAGAAAGAATGTTGGGTGTGTTCTTTGATCAAGGCAGTGAATTGATCAAGTGTGTTCTTTGATCAAGGCAGCCCTGTCTGCCAACTCCGCCCTTTATTTTTCATCTCCATTGCTGTTGTAAGTCGAGGACTTCCTGTATGGGCTACCGGCATCTTTCCTTTCGGTGGCACATCCCTTTTGTAGCCTGTTTCTGCCTGATGCAGAAATGGAAACATGTCTGTTTTCCCTTCAGGGCTGAATTGTTGACCACCACCACCACCACCACCTCCTCCTCCTCCTCCAACTCCTGCTTCTCAGCTCCTTCAGTGCATTTTGCCCGGGGTCAGATTGAGACGGTTCTGGATGAACAACATGCAAAGGGAGGAAAGGAGGGGAAAACTCTTCCCCCTCCCCCCCCCCACATACACATCTTAAAAACACCACTTCGGATTAAACTAGATCAAAGAGAATTTCTTGAGAAGTCAGAGCAAGATCTGTGAAGGGCTCCTTCTCTAAGCCTCTCTGTTGTATCCGTGGCCAGGTGGACGTTTGATGGAATATTACGTTTTTATTTTGCGAGGTCCTTGACCAAAATGCTGTTTTCCTTCTCTTATAGCAAAGAAAGGGCCTTGAATTTCTTTCTTTCTTTCTTTCTTTCTTTCTTTCTTTCTTTCTTTCTTTCTTTCTTTCTTTCTTTCTTCCTTTCTTCCTTTCTTTCTTCCTTTTTTTCTCACTCTTTCCTTTTTTCTGTCTTTCTTTTCTTTATCTCTCTCTTTCTCTCTTTCTTTCTTCTCTCCCTCTGCAAAAATGCAGAGCATTGGGCAGGTCTAGATGACCACTGAGGTTTCTTTCCCACTCTTTGATACTGCAGGGAGGGTGAGGGGAAAAAAAGAATGATGGGGGGGAAAAGCGAGTCCAGCTTTGTGCAAAGCAAGCTGGGTTTTTCCACCCCCACCAGTAACCCAGTTAAGTTGTGCTTAACTAAGCCGCGTTGGCACACCTGAGTCCCCTTCAAATTCGAAACAGCCGGCGGTCACCGCCAGGTAATTGTCCTGCCAAAATGAAGCCCCTGCTGGGGGACCCCGAAGTCCGGGGGCTCGGAGGGCAGAAGACGGCGCTGACTCTATTACGGCCATCGGAGGAAACTGTCGCTCTTCATCCGTGGGCTTATTAATCACAGACAGGTTGGCAGGCTCTCAGGGCAAGGGACTTCCAGAGTGGTTACAACGTGATCCCAGGGCTGGGAGGGACCTTGGAGGTCCTCTAGTCCAACCCCCTGCTCAAGCAGGAGACCTTTAGCCATCCCAAACCAATGACCGTCCAGCCTCTTTTTTAAAAAAAAAAAACCTCCCATGATGGAGCACCCGCAACTTCTGGTGGCAAGCTGTTCCACTGGTTCATTGTCCTCCCTCTCAAGAGTTTCCTCTTCCTTTCCAGGAATCGGGTTTTCCCGTTGATTTTGCTGGGCAGAAGGTCGCAGAAAGGGGATCACGTGACCCCGGGAGTCTGCGACCGTCAGAAATACGAGTCGGTTGCCAAGCGTCTCAGTTTGGATCACCTGAGCCTGCAAAGATGCCGCAAAGTGGGTACGTGGGAAAAACGGTCCTAAGTCCTTTTTTTCAGTTTGGAGTTGTAACTCCAAACGGTCGCTAAATGAACGGTCTGTAAATTGAGGACTGCCTGCGTTAACTAATGACATATTCTTGATTCTGTCGCTCTGATCAAATGGAGGATGTTCAGAGAACAATTCTGCCCTCGACTGCTTCGCCGTGTGCCCAACTGGCCGGACACCGATCCATCCCTCCGTCCGTCCGTCCGTCCTTCCTCCCTGCCGGCCGTGTCCTCCGTCCCAAAGTGGAGCCTGGAGGGTCCGTCTCTCTTCAGCCCACGTCCACATTTTAATCCTAGCTGCAGGGAAGCCAGCCCGGCTTTAATTACGGCAGGTTAATGAAGCTCGCCTTGTTCGGCACCAGGAGACCCTGAGGCTCCGGCTTCAGATGCTGAGCTGGCAGCCATGCGTGTGCGTGTGCGGGGGCCTTTCTGCAGAAAATGAGGACAAGCTGGCAGGGTGTGTGTGTGTGTGAGGGTGAGGGGAGGTCAGCCAAATTGAGTGGGGGGGGGAATGATTTGGTCTGCTCTTTGCTCCTCTCCCTCTCCACCTTCCCCCCTGCAAGGGAGGCCGGCAGAGTTGCCTTGCAAAGGGTTAAGCAGAGGGCCCTGAGGCTGCCTCCTTTTCATTTGAAGTTGGCTGATGTTTTTGCCTCTTCCAAATCAGTCTGCAACATCTGGAATGGCAGCTTTAACCTGGAAATGGGTCCACCTTCCAGCCATCCTTGCTGAATGCAACACACCCGTTCAGCCGATCGTGGGTCGTGGGGAAAAAACGGTTGAGCCATAGCGTAACTCTTGGGGAACTAGACAGTTGTTCGAACACGGACGTTGTTGAAGAGTACAGCTGTTTGCGGTGACTTATTTGCGTTCGTTGCAGGCGTGTTTTCGCATTTGTGTTAATTGGTACATGAGAAAGCCGTGCACGGTTGTCCTGCTGCAAAAATACAGATTTTTAAATCAGCATTTAGTGTTGACTTAAAAGGCGTTCATAACTCAGACCAACCTCTCCAAAGTTTTGGAGTTAGGCCTAAGTTGGGTAGTCGCATTCTGTCCTTGACGGTGTTGGGCAAATGGTAGAGAGTCTCCTGCTTGAGCAGGGGGTTGGACTAGAAGACCTCCAAGGTCCCTTCCAGCTCTTCCACAGAATAACATTCTGTGTCTTCTCCATTCTTTGGATTTAGAGTTATGGATCTCAGAAGATCAGGGTGTTGCCCTCAAGTTTTTCTAGTTTCAGGATCTGTCCCCAAAAGACAGGAAGCTGGAAATACATTTTTTTTTTTTTTTAATTGAAATTTTTCAAAAGTTTTACAAGTAAGAATCCACCCCCCCTCCCCAACCACCCCACCCCCCCCCGACTTCCCAGAACTGAATATAGGATTATTTAACAAATATTTTAAAAATAACATTTGCAACTTATAAAATAATTAATAATAATAATAAAAATCACAGTAATAATATATATAATAATAATATACATAACATGAACTTTAAAATGAATAATATATACTAAAAAAAAAATAAAAAAAGAAGAGAGAGAGAGAAAGAAAAAAGAAGAAAGTAGACGAAGAATAAAGCATATATATATATAAAAAAAAAAAAAAAAAAAGGGAAAAAAATATATGAATAATAATACGTAAAAAATAAGGAAGCTGGAAATACATTTGACATCGCCTGAAAACTCCATCTCGGCATGAATTGACAAGCCTGTTGCTGTTTTTCAGCCCGACAAGCGGAAAAATTGCCGGAGTATAAAGCAGGCCATTGGGTTGTGTATGTGTGTGTGTGACTTAGTCATCCTTTATTTTCGGAATACATTATTCTGCAATAGCGGCAGAATAAATCTTGTGCACCATTAACAGCCATCCCTGGTGCCAATTGAAAAATATACCGGGCGGGAGAAGGAGAAAGAGAAGAAGAAGAAGAAGAAGAAGAAGAAGAAGAAGAAGAAGAAGAAGAAGAAGAAGAAGAAGAAGAAGAAGAAGAAGAAGAAGAAGAAGAAGAAGAAGAAGAAGAAGAAGAAGAAGAGAGGAGGAGGAGGAGGAGGAGGAGGAGGAGGAGGAGGAGGAGGAGGAGGAGGAGGGGGAGGAGGAGGAGGGGGAGGGGAGGAGAAGAAGAAGAAAAAGAAAGAACGTAAAGAAAATTGAATTAGGGGTTGTAGGGAAAAAGAAGGAGCAAATCGAAGTGGGGATGGTCATAAACACCATAGCTGGGGCCCCCAGTCTGCTGATGGTCCATTTGCAACATCTTGAAGCATCATCCGGGCATCATCGTAAGGATGTAAAACACGACTTCATGAGCGATGCGTGTTCACTGTGATATCTGGATGAGGGTAGAAGCTCTGTGGAAACAGTCTCCTTGTTTCAGGTAGAACATTCCCACGGGAGATGGTCTTCTCCCCATCCCTGGACACGTTCTAGAAGATATTGACTTGCCTCTGGGAGGAATGAAGTCTTTGGGATTTAGAATCAAAGTGTTGGAAGGGGCCTTGGAGATCTTCTAGACTAGCCCCCTGCTCAAACAGAAAACCATGTTGTCCAGTCTCTTCTTGAAGACCTCCAGTGATGGAGCACCCACAACTTCTGGAGGGAAGCAGTTCCACTGGTTCATTGTTCTCAGCTGACTTAACAGCCAACTTGCTTAGAATTCTGGTCCTGACTATGACCTGTATTTTGATTTCTAGGTCTTGGTTGGGAGGGAGAGAACTCTCTAGAACCTTCCAGCATGTTTAATCTTCTTCCAGAAGGTCTCAGGATGGATCTGGTGGAGCCAGTTTTTGCACAAAGGGAGGGCAAACCCTTGGAAACCCTTGCAATAAACTCATATTAGAATTTGCATAAGGAAATTACATCTTTGCTGGGAAGATTAATTAGGACGTCTTTGTTCCTTTATGTTTTATGAATGTCTTATATTTCCTTATCAGCTGGCAAGGGTGTTGCACAAACGTCAACACGGGAATTTTTATTTTCTCTTCATTTACTCCTGTTTTGTCTCCTCTTGTCTCCTTTGCTCGCTCTACACCCTGCAAGGCCTGGATGAGAAAGTAAATATATGTTTAATTCCTACCCAATTTAATTATCGCTAGATGCCTGTTAATTTAGAGGGGGCAGGCGGCGGCAGGGGAGAATTCTCGTTTTATTTATAGAAGCAGATATAATTTAGAGGCATGACTAGGCAGGAGATAAGATAGGGCAGATGATCAATTCACACAGTGGGAGAAAAAAAAGTGTCAGACGGTTAGTTGAGGGGACAATCTGGTGGGTTTTCTGGGAGATGAGGATAACATCAGAAGGAGCAAGTTCTGAGAGTCAAAGAAGGACTTCTTGAAAACTTGAGGTTTTCAAGAAAAGATTGGACAACCATTTGCCGGAAATGGTAGAATCTCTTGCTCGAGCAAGGGGTTGGACTAGAAGACCTCCAAGGTCCCTTCCAGCCCTATTTTGAGATAGTTAAATAAGATACATGACGGACAGACGGACGGACGGATGGATGGATGGATAGACGCTCCATCATTGGAGATCTTCAAGAAGCGACTGGACAGCCATTTGTCCAGGATGATATAAGGTCTCCTGCTTAGTTGTCCAATCTCTTTTTGAAGACCTCCAGTGATGGAGCATCCACAACTTCTGAAGGCAAGCCATTCCACTGGTTGATTGTTCTCACTATTAGGACATTTCTCCTTAGTTCTGGGTTGCTTCTCTCCTTGATAAGTTTCCATCCATTGCTTCTTGTCCGTGCTCTGGAGAATAGTTTGACCCCCTCTTCTTTGGAACAGCCCCTCAAATATTGGAACACTGCTATCATGTCTCCCCAAGTCCTCCGTTTCACTAGACTTGGACGTACCCAATTCGTTCTTCACATGTTTTATTCTCCAGCCCCCCGTTCACCTTTGTTGCTCTTCTCTGCTCTCTTTCTAGGGTCTAAGTATCTTCCAAGAAGTCTACTTCCCATCATGGATCTTCTTCCAATCACGACTGGGGCGTGTCTCCACCCAGAAGCAAATTGTTGGGTAGATATTAGTTCTTCTGGAGACAGGGTGGTCTGCCCACGGAGGAGACTCTGGAATAGTGACAAGGCTGTGAATCGCCTTAAGGACACTCAGCTCCAGCATGGAAAATGGAAGTGTTATTGTTGTTGTGTCTCTCTCCAGCTCTGGCTGTGACACCTCTTTGTCCCACCACATGCTGTGCTGAGAAGCGTGGCTTGTTCCGTGCAGAAGCTCTGCTCGATCAATCAGGGATGTGGAGACAGCTGGAAAATTACAGCTACGCTGAGTCCAACTTTGTCAGAGGCAAACCCCAGGGAGAAATCCACACTGATGTGTTTCAAGATCACCATGGCAACAGAGACTCCTGGGAACTCCGGGGGGGGGGGAAAACCAGTGCTTGGAAGCTGAGGGAGATGTTTGATGGAGCAACCGAGAGGGAAGGCAGAGCAGGGGGGTTACGTGGAGACCCACACAAGTAAACACCCAACACCCAGGTCTCAGAACTTCATCAGCCGCAAAGGCCTCCCAGCCGTCAGGTATAATAATGCATGATTAATACGGAGCAATCTGTCAGCACCGTGCTGTGTTTCGGTGGCTGTCAACTTCCTTTGGTTAATTAGGCAGCTCAGCCATTTGCGTGGCTTTTCTAACGAGGACTGATGGATGCTGAACAGAGAGAGGAACAGCTACAACAAGGGGGCGCAGGCGGTTTTGGGAAAGCAGGGGTGACCAGAATACAGAAGGGCAGAGTTGGAAGGGACCTTGGGGGTCTTCTAGTCCAACCCGCTGCTCAAGCAGGACACTTGCACCATCCCAGTCAAAGCGTTGGCCAGTCTCTTCTTGAAAACTTCCAGTGATGGAGGCTTAACAGACTAAGAGAGTTGGAAGGGACCTTGGAGGTCTTCTAGTCCAACCCCCTGCTTGAGCAGTAGACCCTCTACCATCCTGGACAAATGGCTGTCCAGTTTCATCTTGAAAACCTCCAGTGATGGAGTACCCACAACTTTTGAAGGCAAGGAGTTCCACTGGTTGATTGTTCTCATTGTCAGAAAATTTCTCCTTAATTCAAGGTTGGTTCCCTCCTTGATAAGAGTAGGGTAGAGTAAAGTAGGGTAGGGTAGGGTAGAGTAGAGCAGAATAGGGTAGAGTAGAGTAGAGTAAAATAGGGTAGGGTAGAGTAGAATAGAGTAAAATAGGGTAAAGTAGGGTAGAGTAGAGTAGAGCAGAGCAGAATAGGGTAGAGTAGAGTAGAGTAGAGTAAAATAGGATAGGGTAGAGTAGGGTAGGGTAGAATAACAGAGTTGGAAGGGACCTCAGAGGTCTTCTAGTCCAACCCCCTGCTCTGAGATACCCTGGTTTAGACTTTGATCGCCATCTTGCCGTTGTCCGAATTTTTACTCCTTAAACCTTGTAACCTAAGTTGTCCTCCACTGTTTCGGATTCAGCAACATCTCCAAATACGCCGGCGTAAAGCTAAAAAAAAGGATCTTTTGTCCTCCACTTCAAAAATCATGACCAGTGATCTGATTCAGCACCGTGCAGCTTCCACCGAGTGGAGATTTCTTCCTTAACTCCACCGCTGATCTCCAACGCTTTTATTTACCAACTCCGTGGGGAAGCTCACCGTCCTTTCAACGCCGCCGTGGGAGATATCTTTCCAACCCTCAGCGAGAAAGAGAGAGAGAAAAATTAATAGCTGGCTAAAAACAACAGGGAGCGTTTCCAGTGACAAATGTCTCCCCCGTGGGCTGTTCTGAAGTTTAAAAGTCCAGTGGAAGAACCATCCAGCTGTGAGACCAGCAAGGCAACAGATGTTTCCGCCAAGCTACCTTTGGTACGCAGAGAGATTTTGTTCCAGATCAAGACGCACTTTTGGGGTAAGTATCTGAGCTGATTTATTGCCAGTTTTCCAAGGAAGAGAGGATTTGTGCTTTGAGCGTTTAATGAAATATTAGCCACAGGATTAGGGGAAAAAGGTAAGTTTGCTTTCTTAAAGCCGGGTGGAATAGTTGAGCAAAGGGCCCCGTGGGCCTGCAGGAACCGTCCTTTCTGCCTCTGTTTCCCTTTTGTGGTACTTTGATCAGGGTGGTGAGGGGTTGCAAAGGTCATCCCATGAAGGGTTTCTTATTTTCTAAAAAAAACCCCCAAAAATGAGTGAAAAAGCTTCTCGCTGCCTCGTTTATTTTCAGAAGCGGATTGGGTTTGGAGGTGGCAAACTGACTCACACTTACGACGGTCGCAGCATCCCCTTTTGCGACCTTTTGAGAGGCTGGATTCACTTAACGACCGTGTGACTAATTTAACAGCCGCAGTGATTCATTTAGCAGCTCTCTGAATTGGGTTAGAGTCTCGAGCAGGGGGTTGGACTGGATGACCTCCAGGGTCCCTTCCAGCTCTTGTCATTCTGTGATTTTGTACAAAAGGGTTTCCTGCTCGGGCAGGGGGCTGGATTGGATGACCTCCAGGGTCCCTTGCCAGTCATTCTGATATATTTTCACGTGTCTTTGAGAAAAGAGGGGCCGTTTGTTTTTTTTTAAAACTTTTGCCCAAAATATCTCTGAGAAATAATCAGCTTTGGGTTCAAATATCTGTTCTTTCCTGTACCGGCGCTGCTTTTTCCATCTTCAGCACTTCCCCCTCAACAGCTTGGGGAACCAGCTGTTGTGAGATGTGATGTTGTTGTTTTTGGCTGGGGAAGAAAAATAAATCTTGTTTCCCCCCCCCCTCCCCTCTCCTCTCTTGTGTATTTTAATTTTAAGACATTTTGCAAAGGCCCAGAGTTAATCTTGCTTTCCTCCTCCGTCAGATCTGAAAATCGGAGGCCTGGCCTGGCCGGCTCATTATTAATAATTACCAGAAATCTCTTATAATCCGACAAACAGATTTTCATTCTTGACAACTCTATCGAGGCTTGCTCGAATCAACCTCGCCTTGCCCGGGCCAGCCACGCCGGTCTCCTCCGCCAGCTAAATTGCCCCAAGAAAATATTATTTTTAAAAAATACAGTTAGTCCTCAATTTATAACTTTCGTTTAGTGACTGTTTGAAGAAAGGATCGTTTGTTTCACCCTTAACTGCTGCAGCATCACAGGATCAAAGTTCAAACGTCTGGCAACTGACTCGTATTTATGACGGTTGCAGCGTGCCGGGGTTGACGCAATCCCCCTCTTGTGTCCTTCCGAGAAGCCAAGGCAAGGGGGGAGCCAAATTCGCTTAACGGCTGTCTGATTGATTTAATAACTGCAGTGATTCACTTAAGGACCGTCCCGCTTAGCGGCAGAAATTCTGGACCCCATTGAGGACTACACGCACTCAGTCAAAGATTTAACTGCACCCTGCTCTGTTCCTGGAGAATTTCACTCCATTTTTCTTCTTTAGTGGAATTCATTTCTGCAAGCCTTCCTCGGTGGAAGAAAGACGAGGTGGGGAAAATTCAGATTTTTTTTTTCATTTTATTTTATTTTTTGCTGCACGGGCGATGCGATTTTTCATGGTGCTGCATCGTTCGACAGGCGTCTTCTCTTTATTTCCCCTTTTTTCTAATGGTTTTGTGTAGTTCGGCTGGCAGCGTCTCGGCCTTGTCAGGCTGCAGCTGTTTGCCCCGGGCCCCCCATTTCTCTGGATCTCAGCTGGGCCCAGATTTTGCCTGGGAAGCTTTGGCCAAACTCTCTTTTGGGGGGGGGGCAAGCAAGCAGTTTTTGGTTCTGAATCAGCAGCCTTGGTGGGGGCAATGGAAGAATACTGCCAAATTTCAGATATGGCCTGGGAAAAGGAAGGGAAGGGAAGAGGGAAAGAGAAAAGGGGGGGGGAAGGGAGGAAGGAAGGAAGGAAGGAAGGAAGGAAGGAAGGAAGGAAGGAAGGAAGGAAGGAAGGAAGGAAGGAAGGAAGGAAGGAAGGAAGGAAGGAATTCTCCAAGGCCACTAGTTGCCCTCCTCCTCCTCCTCCTTCCTGTTTTTTTTCCATCTTCTTCTCCTCCACTCCTTCTCCTCCATTCTCCTTCTCCCCTTCTCCTTCCCTACCACTCCTCCTCCTCCACTCCTTTCTCCTTCCTCTTTTCCTTCCTTCTTCACCTTCTTCTCCATCCTCTTCTCCCCATCTCCCCCCTCCTTCTCTACCACTCGTCCTCCTCCTCCTCCTCCTCTTCCCAAAAGTTTTGGAGAGCTTTTCAACTTGAAGAACCAGACCTTCAAATTCAGATCCAGGGACATCTGAATTCCCGGGAGAAGACCCTTGAGGTCTAGGAGCTTTGGAGGGCTTTTCAACTTGGAGAACCAGACTTAATTCAAAACCAGATCCAGGGCCATTTTGGATTCCCAGGAGAAGACCCTTGAGGACTAGCAGCTTTGGAGGGCTTTTCACCGTTGGCAATCAGACTTACGACCTTCAAACCAGGTCAAGAGCCGTCTAGATCCCCAGCCTGTAAATTTCAAGGCTCCATTTTTTTTTTTTGCCCTTTGCCAAGATTACATCAAACCCAAAAATGACACCCCTGTCAACGAAATCAGAAGAGAGGGGGAAAAAACCCCCATAATTCTTGTGCCAATGTAGCCTCATTATCTGCCTGGCATTTAAGGATAATTTATGCCCATCCTCTCACCACTTCACTCCGTGGGAAATTACACCAGGGATACTCGAAGTCTCTGCCAGGAACACAACGGTGTCAAAAGCATTGAAATAAATTGATTTAGCTGGGGTCTCCTGTGAATTTTTATAGCCTATTTATCAATGCGGGCTAGGCATGATACACACTAAATTACTTATCTATCGAGAAAGAAGAGGAAAAATCGCGTGAAAGGCCCTTAAATATTTTTTCCCAAAGTTTTTATTAATATTTATCAAAGCAGGAAACACACAGAAAATAATGCTAAAATAGCCACGTGGAGTGGGGGGAATGTTCCCCCCCAACCCAGCAAGATTCAGGGGGAAAAAAATAAAACAAAATCCACTTGTTTGTTGTATAGTTGTAGGTCCCCGACTTTTTTTTTTTAACTTGGATGGGAGAAATCAGTAAATCTTCATTTCCCTGGGACAACCAGGGTAAATAAAAATGAAGGAGGTGGATGGAATACAGACATCTCGGCTTTGACTCCCCTTAATGAATTTGCTGGTCAGAAGGTCCCATGTCAAAATCTGCAGTTTGGAAGTGAGGAGTGTGGTTGACCCCACTGAAAAGCCCTCCAAAGCTGCTAGACCTCAGGCGTCTTCTCCTGGTCATGAAGCTGACAGACTCCTGGTTCAGCCGAGAGAGAGAGAAACATCACAATGAACAGCAGATGTTAATGGCTCCAAGGCCAAAATGTGAACTCGCCCTTCACGTGGTAGATTAGAACACAGAATCCTAGGGTGGAAGGGACCTCGGAGGTCACCTAGTCCAACCCCCTGCTTGAGCAGGAAACCTTATAGCATCCTGGACAAATAGTCGTCCAGTCTTTTCTTTAAAACCTCCAGCAATGGAGCACCCATAACAGTTATCCTCGGCCATTAGCGGCTGTTCCATTCCTGTGTGCGAGTTGGGCAGCTGTACAAATTTGTTGGATAAATAAAACAAAATCTCTGCCCAAATATATGCAAACAAGCCAGGAAAACGTCTTCCAACGTCCCCAAATATTTTGGCGTCTCGTCTCCTCCTCCCTTTTTTCCTTTTCCTTGCACAAAAGATGATTTTTTTTCCCCCTCATCAATTAAATCCTGGTCATAAATGAATAATAAATCACATTGTTTCTCTCTCTTTCTCTCTCTCTCTTTCTTTTTTCTCTCTCTTTTTTAAAAGGCAGATGGCTTTGTTTTTCCGCTAATGTGTTTTGCTAACACAAGGTGGAAACAATCATGCCTGTATTCATCTCCCTTGTATCAACAGATGTGCTTTTAATGGAAAACAATTTCTCAGACACATGTGAGCGGAGGCATTGGGGAGTTGTGCACACGCTGGGTGTCGGTTGTCGCCCTTTGGGGTGACCTTGGAGTTCTCCTCGATGTCGTACTTGAAAAGGATGCCTGCAGTTCCCCCCCCCTCTTCTCATTGTCATTTGCAAAAGAGAATTTTCCTCTGCAATAACTTGCAGAGAAGATAAGGTTCAATCTTTCGACCTGTTTAAAAAAAAACCAAGAAAAAAGTTGAGGACAGGAGCGGGTCCACCAAGAGGAGAAGAAGACCAGGAGGTGACAGGTAGCAGGTGGAAAATATTTGAGGGGTTGCCCCAAAGAAGAAGGGGGGTGTCCCTTAATTCTCCAAAGCCCCTGAAGGCAGGGCGAGAAGCAATGGTCGGAAACTCACCAAGGAGAGACACAACTGGAATTAAAGAGAAATTTCCTGACCTTGAGAACAGTTAATCAGTGGGACAGAAGTCGTTGGGTGGTCCATCACTGGAGGCTTTCAACAAGAGACTATCCAAAATGGGATAGGGTCTCCTGCTTCAGCGGTTGTTCAGCCAATTGTGAATCCATCTGTCTATCCCACATTGTTCAACGAGAAGTAGACCTACTTGATCAAATGCTTTTTCTTTGGCACGGGATAGGGTCTCCTGCTTGAGCAGGGGGTTGGACTAGAAGACCTCCAGGGTCCCTTTCGGCTTTCAGCTTAACAACAAAAACATTGGGCTCAACTGTGCTTGTAAGTCAAGGACTTCCTGTGCTTTATTTAAACCCAATAGCACTGCGATGGAAAATCCCAGCCCAAATTTTGCTGTTCTTGGTTTTTGCGACAGTGCAATAGTAGTGTGTGTGTTTAACAAGAAAAAGGTCAGAAAAAAATATCAATAAAACCTTTTAACAGACGGAACACACACACACACACACACGCCCTCTAATAAAATCAGACTTTCAGTTCCTCCTTTGAAAAAGCTAGCTAAATTTTTTTTTAAAAAAGTCTTCCCGAATCC